CATAATCTCAACCTTTCTTGACATAATGCTATTGAAGAGCTGAATGGTAGATCCATGGCAGATTAACACATACATTGCTATAGTTAATGTTGATTTGTACATGACTTAGAGGGAGACAAAAGTATTTCTCTTCTGCTGTCAGCAATAATTTTTATGATTTCAGGCAGAGTTGATGTTCCCAGCTGTATGTGAAGTACTTCATAACTCAGACATGCTGTGTATTAGTCTGGGAACAAGAGCTTTTTCCTGATATGGTGGTCACAGCCCCCTTTATCTGTTTTGAAAGCAATATGTTCTTCTCTTGGCTTTCTGTGATAGGAAAACAATCTCTTTTAATTGCAGTCTCTGTAACAAAAATCAGGTCTCTGCATGAGGCATGATACAGGTTCTAGACCAGAACAGGACCTCTGGGGGTGAGTAGTTCTTAAACTACATCTGCAGTTCTTCGATACAACTGTGTGTCAGACAAGCAATGTACAAAACCTAGGTATTTGAAAAATAGGCATTAACTTCTAAGTTAACTCTATAATAAGTTAAAATAGGCATCCCTGCAAATATCCAAACAATGGAAAAGCAAGTTTTGTATAGGGGAAAAATACAAGAAATACTGACACCAGCACAGGAGGTTTTGCTGGATATGGTGTACTCACTAGGAGTGATTTTGCCTGATTATTACCAGATCTTTGTACTAATCCAAAGAATTTATGGCTTGGAAGACTCCCCTTTATCAAAATACTAGCTTTAAACCATATAATTTTCAGTACTGCCAACCAAAATTAAGATGATATTGTACATATTTTTCCTTTGGGAAAAAGTTTTGTTTCATATTGTATCAAAACAGTCCTGACAGCTCTGAATATTTATATACTTGGCAAAGCTGAATTTCATTTGATATAAGTGAAATTAGTGATTATTGCTTGGTCTTATAGAAAATCTTCTGAAAAAAGGTCACTGACTTTAATATTTTATTCCCTTAGTGGAGGGCTATTTTTACTTTGAATAAAGATGTAAAATCTTGTGAGATCCTGCTGACCTGTGGGAGAAATCACTCACCTGCACTTATTCCACACATGAAGCGCCCAATCAGAATCATCTCGAAGGACTGGGCTGTTTTACTGCAGCCCATGATAGATGCTGCCACTATCATGAGCAGGTTGTTGCACAAGAGACATTTCTTTCTGTAAGGAAGTGAAAAGATTTTTTGTAAATCAGAAGGCAAATGGCACTTAAGGTCCTGCCATGCAGGAATTCTTGGGTGAAATACAAGCTAACCCCACAGCTAACCTGGCTGTGTAACAGCCATGACTGAGTCTAAAACTCTGTCTCCCATTTAAAACCTCGGCTGTCATTTCCTCAAGCTAAGATTCACTTGACAATTTGTCTTTGAACACACATACATACTTGCCATATTTGACAGCGAGGTATCTGCTTCCTGAAGAACCCAAGAGACCTCCTATACCAAAGATGGACACGATGATGGACCATAGGAACAGGAGGTTATCCTGCTGGATGGGGTAGCCATATCGCTCCAGCCAAGTTTCATTAATGAAAACCTTTACATGCTGAGACAGAAAAAGAATTTTCATGAACAATACCTGTGACAGCAGTGCATGTATTTTGATATGTTTACAATGTAATTTTGCTGCTTCAGCTAGTTACTATTTTATATAGACTTTAAAATTGTGCATTTTAGCTAACAGGCATAGTGTAATAGTGTGCTGTGTTTGTTTTTTTCATTAAAGGCAGTTCAATCTTTGGGGTTTTATCCTTGAAATCTGAGGAACTGAGGTATGGACTGGTACTAAAGAATAGCATAAACACCCCTGCAAAGTTCTGCAAAGGAGTTATGGGTTTTCTCTCACATACCTGCCAAGAATGCCAGGTTACACAGCATACCTTCAGTGCAGTTCCTAAGTACTTTTTCACTCAAAATCTAATGCTCTAAAGCCAGAAAATAACACTGTTCCCATAAGGTGATCCCCACAAAATAATGATGTCTTCCATCTAGACCTCAGTGTCTTTAATGAAAGTTTTGCATGTGATCAGTGGAGAGAAGCAGACATTTTCCTAGAGCATGGCTCGCTTGACTGATTATTTGTCTGTGAAGATGGGTAGCTATAAAAATATCAGCTGAAGCCACTGATGCAGGCAAATGTGCTGAAGGTTTTTAGGGGAGACAGATGCCACCCTACTCAGTGTGTGTCTTCTGATGAACAGTTCTATAAATAACAGCTTACAGATCTCTTTTTTTTTTTCTCTTTTCAACACTTTGACATGTCCTGCTTTTCATGATAGCATAGTGTAGCAATTAGGAAATGAGAGGAGAATACTGTGATTAAGCCCTTTCTGACTGCCAGAGGGGAGCATCCCCAAGCAGCAGTGTAGTGCCCTCATTAACCAGTGTGCCATGTGCATCTTTGCCTACCTGAGACATGTAGGTCAGGGTAGAAATCTGAAAGCCAATTTGGAATGTTCCACCGATCCCCAGGACAGCGGTCATTTGAAAGAGCCCCTGGTACTGCACCTGCAGATGTAGAACAAAATCTTCTTAGGCTTGTAGCCACATCGGGCTCTTCCTGCAATGTGTCTTTCATTCTCCAGCAACATGTCATTTGTTCAAGGGATTTGCAGGTAGGAATGTTCCCTCTGCTTGCCCCAGTGTGAGGAATACATCCTCCTGTGTTTTCCTTACATCCAGCTCAAGGACAAACAGCTCCCACAAACATCCTTGTGCCACAGCTGCCGACATCCAGTCCTCTTCCCTGCCTTTCAAAACCTCTGCCTGCCATGTCTTGCACTGAATAATTAGTGATATATTTAACTAAGCTTTTTTTTTCAGCAGGTGAGCAAAGCAAATTATGTTTGCAGGTAAGCAAATATTTTCAAATAACTGAAAACATTTAAGAAACATTCATATATTGACAAAGATGGATGACAGAGCACATGAAGTGCAAACATTTGTAATACCTAAAAATGGTGGGCAGAATCACTTCCAAGAATCTTTTAGTGAGCAGGAGCCTTGTTGTTTTTACTGATATATCGACTTGGTTTTCTTTGAAGCACCTGCAGCACACAAAAATGTCACAGATGCAAATACCCCAGGGAAGACTTACCAGGTCTGATAGGAAGCCGGTCATCTCTGGCTGGGGGCTGGTTGTCCAGCGTGTGATGTGTCTTTGTCATCACAGGCTTCTGTGTCTCTGTCTCCTGCCTGCTGGTATGGCAGTGGGCATTTGGCTTTGTGGATCAGAGTTAAATTTTTACTATTTCATCTTCACCCACTTACATTTACTTCAACCGGCCAAAGTTAACAGTGCCAGATTAAATATTTCAGGAAATAATTGCATCCAGTCCACTCTCCAGGTGGAAGGTTTCAAAGCAGAGGAAGTTTGCATCTGGAGATTAGAGTGAGGGCTTTGGAAAGGGAAAGAAGAAGAGTTTGGGCAAAAAATCCAAACAGTTTTCCAGAAACAGTAAAACACTTTACTCCTATGGTACAGACCAGAGGGTATGTCTGCCATAATCTGCAGAAAGCAAAGGCAGCTGGTGCAAGGTTTAGGTACTGTTATTTATAAACAAGTAAAGTATGTGGTATTCTGTTTCAGAATCATTGGTATAGTAAATATTGTTTTTAGAAATAAAACAAGCAAGTTTCAAAGCCTAATTCTGCTGTTCTGGCCTTAAGTATCAGTTAGACTGTACTGAGGATTGGGTGTTTATGAGGATGTTTGGCAGCCAGGTGTGCTGAAAAAGCAGTAAGAGATAGTGTGCCCTGGCAGAGGCTTTCAGAATAGAGCATCTGGTCCTGAAGGCTCCTCTTGAAAGAACCAGTAACAAAGACACACTTTCTCATGAGAGTAATCAAAGGAGGTAAATATTCCTTAATGAGTTAGGAGGGAACAAGTGGGATCTTACTCCCTCAGCTTTGTCACAGAACAGCTCCAAAATCAGTGTTGCAGGCATGAAAAAGTCACCTTTGGTTCCCAGAGGCTCCTCTCTTGTGAGGTGAAGCTCAAATTGTAGCTCTACATGGCTTCTGCTCAAGCCAGCACTTGGAAGAGATAGGTTGGTCTGCTTGGGGCTTTCCTTTGTGTTTGGTGCCTGTGCTGTTCCTGCCTTCAAAGTCTTCTACTCACTCTCACTCATGCCAGGGGACTGTCCCCTGTCCCCAAGGCCTGGAGTGGGGGAAGGTGGGGCAATAGGGTTATACTGAAGGCCTCAGTAAGTGCTCAAGCTCACCCTTGGGATTGTACTTTCAGTTCATAAAACATAGAATGCAATTATTTACAGAGGGGTTCACTGCAAATACTGTGAGTCTAAATAAATGAGGAAAAAAATACATGTTAATCATAAAACCTTGGTTACTTGTGTAATTCCAACTATCGCCTATTTAACTGCATAGCAAATGCTGTTTATCCTGGCTTGCAATGGCATTTAGAATTATTTGGAAATTTTTGTAAGTATTTTCTCTTGAACACCAGCATTGTAACCAGCTGCATAGATATTGACTATTTATTGTTTCAAAATGTTAATGTTTCTTTTCTATTACACGATTTTTCCCCAACTGTGTCAAGGTGTAGGGTGGCTACGCCATAAGCAATCTTACACTCCTTGAAAATCATTACTTAGGATCTCAAATAGCAGCAAATTCCACCATCTCACAGTGAAATTTTTCTTGCATTTTTGGGAATTTCTGGTGATTCTGAGCTGTACATGACTGTTTCAAGTTATTAGCAATTTTAGGAGATTTTTATTCCAGGAGTTTACCGCTTGTTTTTTTGTCAAGCCAATGTTGAGCTCATGAGGATCCCCGTAAAGATAAGGAAGCAGAAAGAGATGAGGTTTTCCTGGAAATAAATCACAGAAAAATAATTTTATTTTATTCTTTTGCTTCTCTTTTTGCAAGACTTAGAACATGATGACAAAATTATGACAGTGATGGCAAAATTTTGCTTTGTAGCTGCCTAAACCCAGTCTTTAGGTATGAAACAGCAACAGAAATAAAATAGTTAAAATTTCCTTCTTTCCTGAAGGCAAGATAGGCAGGGTGAGTAGTCAAAATAATTTGAGATGTTACTTGCAGAAGTATGAAGGAGAGGCCTTGGCATGGGATTAAAACAACTCACAAACATTAATACTGGCAGGTTAATCATAGACTATCTGGTTTATCAGTAACTGCAAGAGATGCAGCAATAGTGAGCATCTGGGAGAACAGGCCTCCTGAGGTCTGGCACGTTGGACTGGTGCAGTTTGGGAGGATGAATGCTTAAGATGGAAAAGTTCATTAAGCCATGAAGTAGAGGAGGTGCCCAGCAAGGCAACCTGTGAAGGATTGACTTCTTGCAGGAGACACTGGAGCTATATCAGAGTCAGCATGGCTGGGCTTCAGAGAGGGGGACAGGGGGATCCAGGGCTCCTGTTTTAAACCAGACATGGTGCTGTGTGACAGGGATGAACAGTCCCTCTGCAGGGTTCCAGCTGTGCTGCTGCTGAGGCCAATTCCTGCCAAAGGACCAGTAAAGACAAAGTGACACTGACCAAGTTTACAAGATAAAATTCTCTCTTCTGTATGTTCAGAGAGGTTGAGAATCCTGAAAAGAAGCTATGAAAAAGAGAAAAAGGAGGGTCATATCAGAGAGAAGGAACTGAGAAATGAAAGTGGAAGTTCCACAGCAGAACACATTATTGATCTGGTGCAGTGCCAACAGTGAATGCCGATCCTAACATCTATTTTTCCATCTGTCTGTTGAGTTAGTGACTCCATGGCTTTAACGTCTGTTCAGCACAGTTCAGAAGTGCTAGCACTTGCAATTGCACCTGATTGTGAAACCTGTGCAAGCTGGGAAAGAATAGCATGGAAGAAGATAAATGTGACATTTGTGTTCCATTTGGCCTCATGCTGCCCATATTTTCAAACAGGACACTCAGGCATTAGTCATTCCCCTCTACAACATTGTTAGGGAAACTGCAAGCTGCACTGCCTCAGAAGGGGTGGAGGAAGAGAGCATGGTGGCAAAAAGAAGCATAAGATTTCATCCTGGATGCAGACAGCACCTTGTGGGAAGGTGTGAGGGCACAGGAACTGTTGTGGGCAGGTCGACATGTGCAAGCCAGTCTGTCCCTTATTGCAAAATAATGTCCATAATCCAAATAACGTCCATAATCCAAAACTTTTCTTCTTAAATGACATGATACATTTATGTAGCACTTTGCCAGGTCAGTGAAGCTCTGTTAGGTCAGTAGATGTTAAATGCCAGTTTTCCAAAAAGAATGACAGATGGATGGGTGAAAATATCCAAAACCAAATCAGCAGCCAGTTGATGGCCAGGAGTAAATCTCATGACTGCTTGACTCCCACGCAGATACAATGTATTTTACAGTGTCTGCAAGCTTGAACTGAAGAGTTGTTTTGTGTGGAGATGGGCAGATAACCAACTGTATTAATGCCAGAGAATTGCAGAGTTATGATCATAGTAATAAATGTACAGGTGCCAGTGCAGAGTCTGGTCTTCCATCACTTCCAGCACACTTGGGATTTTGCTGTTTTCCATGCTGCTTTTTGTTTTAGCAGATTGTCCATTTCTGCTTGGTGCTTTTCCTCACCACACAGTTCCTTCACAGCTGTGCAGAACAAAGAGGAAGGCTCAATACCGCTGCATCATATTATTTGTACATGCAGATCTTTCAGATTATTAATTAGTTATTCCCCTAAGGTTTCATAATATTAACAGGTATGGCATGAGAACACAAGAGACATATATTTATATCCTCTGTTCACAGTCTTGCAGACATAAGATCCTATCCCACAGTTGTTAGTATATAAACCTTAACTAGCACTATACAGGTGTAAAAACATCAGCATAGCCTCTGACCTCTCTCTTTCCTGTCTCATCTCATGGCTCTTGCTACAGCACCTGGGAAGTACCTTTCTAGAGCCTGAACAGAGAAAATAAGATTGTAATGGCTGGCAGCTCTTTTCACCAATAATGTAGCACATTGATTCACTAAAGGGCTTTGTATTTCTATGCACATATGTTTTCATGTGGAATTACAAAGACTTGCTGTATCTGGACAGATTTGTTGGAAAGAATTTTTTATGCAGTTTTCTGACAAGATAAGATAGCTCCCAGTAGACTGTCTGCTGCTTTAGTTAGGTGGTTGTGGTACACAAATTACCTCATTTAACATTATCTTACATGATATATTTTGAAAATGTTGACTGCCCATGTTAACCTGTGTTAAGTGGAGAGACTGATGTGTTTGTTACCTGGGCATGACCACTCAAAGGCAGCTACAGTCGAGCTCTTATTCTTTTCTTCTGCAAAGAAGGGTGGGTGGAAAGGGCTGGGAATGAAAAGACAGTGGAAACACTTGGACATGGAAACAAGAGGGAGCAGGTGAAAATGGTATAGAAATACCTCACCATTTAAGATCTAGAGGAATTTTAAACTTTTTCTTTTAATTAGTTTTTCTACCCAGCTGGAACTTCCTTCAAAGTATCCATGATGATTTAGTCCAGAAAGTTTATTCTGTGTCTTTTGACTTTTTTTTTTATTTTAAATGTTACCTCTAATTTTTTGCAGCAACAAAATTAGAAGGATTATCCCCTGCTCACCCTATTATTTTGAAAATAATTTGATAAATATGTATTATATTTTCTTTGGGAATGATGATTGCAACAGACCACCTCACAGTTCTGAAAGCCTAATGCTGCCAGCTGGTGCTGCCAGCTGCAGTACTCACCACTTCTGGAAGGAGCTTGTCCATCTCATGTTGAAAGGGTGGCTGATCCCAGGTAGACAGAACTCTGTCAGACTGTGGAAGTGTTTTCTCTCATGCCTCTCCTGCACCTTCTTCTTAAGTAACCACCTGACTCTGAGGCTGAGGTTAATGTTTACTTCGTATGATTTCTGTTCATTTATGTTTTTTGTAGCAACTGGACAGCACTTAGAATGGATGGATTAAATATTTCAATGCCTCAACAGGAGAGGGCCCTCTGAATGGGAACATTTTGTAGCATGAGTGCTCCCTAATTTGATACAGGAAGTGATACCAGATTGAATATAAAATCTAACCCAGGTTTCAGTTGCTGGAACACACACCAGCCCTTTAATACCAGAGCTTCTCCTATGGTTATTCCTTTAGAAGTAGTAAGTACATTATTTGAAAATTTTAAACAGAAAAATCCCTAAAACTTAACACTAATTTAGTTCTCCAGCACAGTGATAACCAATATGAATAGTTAAACTGCAAAAAGAAAGGACTTATGGTCCTGCTGAACAGGAGGCTCAGAATACCATTTGTGATTGTGACAGAAAGAGGAAAAATAATTGATCATCCTATATGAGTTTGGGGAGGGAAGTGACTGATGATGCAGTGGACAGTTGAATTAACACCCCAGTGAGGGGTGCTGTGGAGCACAGCAGGGAAGTGTAGGATTGTGAGCTGATGTGCAACAGCAAAGTACAATGTGTCCTAGGCCAGTACACAGCCAGCAGGTATCAGCCATCACAGCTTCTGCTTTTGTTTTGTTTTGTTTTTAATCAGTTAATCATGCATAAAATGGGCTGAGTTTTCAAAGTCTCTACTTTGTCAGTACTCTCTCAAAGTCTCTTACTCCCTCTCTGCAGGGCTCTGATCCTCCAGCTCTCAGCATTGCCTCTATGTTTATCAACCCTTGTGCCATCCATGAGGTACCAGAATACATTACAAAAACTTCCTCCTGATTTTGCTACAACTGATATTCACAGAGAATGCAGCCAGTTTGCTGCAGAGAATGCAAGTGAGGGTTTTCTGCACCGACTGCCCAGGGATTGGGGCTGATCCCTGACAGTCATTACAGAGACAATCAGGACATATAGTTACTTGATGTCAGCTCAAGGAAATACAAGCTCTCTTTGTCCTACTTGGTGTTTGTTCATGTGCAGTGCTCACAATAATAGGTCCTTAACAGTGTGATATCATAATGACATGAGATGACATGACCATTGTTTGCAAGAACTATGTCTGTGTTTAATCCTTTCTTCATCCTGCTCTTAACCTTGAGCAGAATTTTCTTATGAAGTAACAAACATGAAGACAAATCTTGCTGCTTGAAAATGACAGCAATGCAGAAAGATTTGAAATACAATTGGTGTGTTATGCCTGAAAATGTTTCCCATGTGCCAGTTCTTAGAAATGTCTGTAGTTGCTGTTGTTTTCCTGCTACAGAATCACTCTAGGAATGAGCCATTGACTCTCACCATGAAAAGCAAAGATGAATATAAAACAGGACTACTTGGATTAGTGACAAGCTATCTCTGGATTGCTTTTTGGGTTGCATTTCATTGAGAAAAGTCCATGTTAATGTTCAGTTTTCAGTTTGATTTTGAGACAGGCCTTTTTGTCAGTGGAAGTTACTGGTGGTGGCTTATCAGAGCTTGGTGCAGAATGTTTTTTCTTCAGTAGCATTCACCTCCACAGCCTGGTGACGTTTCTTCTTAAACTGGCGTGTTTTGAATTCTTCTGTGATTTCAGAGATTGACTTCCCTTTTGTTTCTGGGAGGAACAGGTAGATAAGTATTGCTGAAATGATCAGGACAGCAATAAAGATGAGGAAGCAAAAAGGACCAAGAAGCATCTGGAGAAAAAAATAGAATAAGATGAGTGATTTTCCTGGCAATATTTGCCTCTTTAGATTCTTGAAAGTGGTTGATTTGTTCCTGTGAAATGAGGAATAAGGTGATTTTACAGCAGGAATATTCATTTATCTTTTCAATCTGTTCTGGAGGCAGCAGGTAATTTCTGAGGTATTGGGAAGTGTTTTGCATAAATGGCCTCCATGTGCCAATAGCAATAAGGGATTCACAGTTTTAATCATCTGCAAGTCACTTTATCCTACTCCCTGTCCAGACCAGTCTAGAAAAAATTGATCAGTTAAAATTGATAGAGTCAAAGAGAAGGTTTGAATCAAATTACATACTACAGCAAAGGGGAAAATCATTCCAGTGAAAGTGAGGCCCAGCCAGATGACGATTCCACCAATGACAAAAGCGGAGGCTCTTGTTGAGAGGGTGAAGATTTCATTAGTAACAGATGAAACGGCTCCAGCTGAGGGAAAAACAACATAAAAAAGCAACAGTTGTTGTAGTGTCCATTTCCCATAAATGACACCTGAGTTCTGCTACTGTGGGAATTCTGTTATATTTTCCAGACTTTCATGATCCTCTTGTACAACTCTTACAATAGTAGAGGCTGCCATTTGAATGTGGAGAATGTAATAACTACAAGTAATGTTCAGTCAGGGAACTTCCAGAGTAAATATTGGTCTTAGGTGAGTGAGATTGTAAAAGTAAGTTTGGGTCTGATGTTACCAATGTATTTTACAGGTAAGTTAAGAAAACACTGGCACTTTAGAGGAGCCTTCCTCTGCCCTTAGGCAAAGATAGGAATCCACCAGGTGAGCCTGTGTGCACTGAATGACATCCGTGCTCTCCAAAACAAGTCAGTGAATCGATTAATAAGAACTTATTTGTCTTGACCCTGTAATCCAATGAGAGAAAACAGGCTTCTGATTCATCAGAGTGTGAATGATTTAAAATAATTTGTTAAAGAAATTACTTCTTGGGTAATTAATTCATTAAAAATTGGAACTCCTTTAATCTCAGCCCAAACTAAGCTGTTGATTTTCAAAGATATATTCACACCTTCTAGTTCTACTTGTATACATTCATGGCCTGTGCTTATCCATGTGGTCCAAGTTTTTCTGTTGCTTTTATTGTTATACTCGCCTGGTCCTATCCCATAAGCAATGATGAATAAAAAGATGAGAACAACACTGCAGTATCGCATCCAGAGGAACTGATCCTAGAAAAGGCATAAGGAGGGAAGAGAATGAGAATTAATTTTATAGCTGTAGCACAGCTGATCCAAGCATAGGAGCAGCAATATTTATGAAAAAGCCCATGGTGCTCTCTAGAACTGCTCATCTTTCTGTACTGACCACAGTGGAAGGCCAAAAGCAGCCTGCAGTGCCACATCTACAGAGGTGAGCTCGTATTCAGAAGACATCCTGACCTGCTGTTTAGGACATGAAAGCCAAGGCTGACTATCTGCTGTCCTGCACAAATAATTCAGATGCAGGTCCACTGCCAGAGAGACATTTGCTTACACTCAGCAGGAGGCTTGTTTCAAGCAACAGCAGTATCAGTGCCATCAGCAAGTAACCACCACACAGGAGTATCCGGCGTCCAAACCGGTCGATTATGGAGCTCTGAAGAGTAGAAGAAAATTGCATATCACTGGAAGGATGGCAAAATCCAGCTGTGAGCCATCCAACAAATCAAGCATTCTCCTGGAGTTCTTTTACTTCAGAGAACACAAATCTTATTGGTACCAAGTTTGTTTTTTATTGAATTCCTTCTAGCCTCTCTAACACTACGAATTAAAATCACTGCCCAGCATTGCAGCTACTTTTTCCTAAATGTTGTAATCAATGGAAGCATGTTACAACTCCATTTGAATATATAGACACACAAATATATGGAAATGAGCACACATATTTTTGTTTGAATGACATTGCATAAGGGATTCTTATAAGAAATTAAGAAGAATGAAGATAGGAAGGAAGACATAAAAGCTGGGACAAAATTTGGAGCAGGTGGTAACAACCACTGTACAGATTCATGCAGTACCACAGAAAAATACTTTGGTTCTTAAGGAGAAAATTCATTTGTTTTAAGGAAGAATAGACTCAATTCACATGTACTTTAATTCTTAAAGCCTCAGAAAGCTCTGACTTACACAGAATATGACAGAGATGAGTTCAGAGACTGAAACTCCTAGTGACACATATGGGATTATGCTTTCCTGCAGGTTGGCAGTCTGAAAAATTTCTGAGGTGTAAAAGGTGATCTGAGAAGTAAGAAAAATATTAAAAGTTAAGCATAGTTAACAGCTATGATACGTGCCTATCCAGCATCACTTAGAACTATATCTGTCATCACTGCAAAAGCAGGGGTGTGGTGCTGGGGCCTAGTGGAGGTGACATCCCTGCTTGAGATGGGAAAAATCAAAAGGTTAATGGAGATGAAGAAAAGGTATTTGAAAATCCAGGGGGAAAAAAAGAAAAAAAGAAAAAAGAAAAAAAAAAGTAGTTGAAAGGAGCACATTGCCTGTAAGCCATGGGGAAAAGGTGTTGTTTTGGCAAAAAGGAGAAGGAAAGGGACAAGACAGGGGGAATGAAGGTAACAGTGTCCTTGCAGGAACTTAAACTGCATTGGATCTCTTGTAGTCCCACCTGAGAAGTTTCCTTAGCAGTATGAAGAACACTGGTGACGATACCACAGACCTCAGGCAGTGGGCTCTGTGTGAGGAGGAATGATGGAGACCCAGAGGAAAGGGACACTGGGGCACTGTGGTTACTTAACAGCAGATTTAAGCATGGAAATTGGGCACTGGTTACTTAACAGCACATGTAAGCATGGAAATTGGGCAAACTCAACTGCACTCAGGCCACAGAGCTGCAGACTCAGTAGCAGGAGGAGCATGGTAATGAGCTGCGGGTACACGGATGGTTCTCTCAGCACCTCCAGGACGTTCATGATTTTGGTGCCTTTTGTTATAGCCTTTTCCTTCATCAAGTCCTCAAATTCTGTGTGATAGTTCCCTTCTCCCCAGAGTTGCTTCATGGCTGCAGAAGAGACAGAATGAAGTGTACTCCTGCATCACCTGATCCACTCAGAGTTCTGTGTTTTGCAACTTTTATTGACACTAAACATTTGCAGTTCAGTCTGTGCTGTGATTCATGAGTTACTGAGCAAAGGACTGGAAGGAACACTGCTTGCTGGAACATGATGAGATTTTCCTGGAAAATGGTGTTCAGCTTGCTGTAGTATTTAGGGGTAGATCTTAAATATTTCTGATGATTCTGCTTCATCTGGAGAACTTTAATCATGTAATTATCAAGAAATCTGTAGCTGGCTAGTAGAAAAACTGATTTCCTCTGTTAGCTTCACTTTCCCAAGAGTTATGGTTTAACGAAGTAAGGATCTAAAGTTTTATTTTACCTTTCAAGCATCCAGCCTTGTCTCCTTTCTGCAGCAAGAGATAGGGAGGGGACTCAGGAAAGAATGGTAAAAAGAGCAGTTGAATCAATGCCACCAAGCCAGAGAAGGACAATAGCACATTCCATCTGTCTTCAGTTCCTAAAAGATCTCTATGAAAGCATGTTAGAGTCTATTTATAGTCCAATAAAATTACAGTTTATATCTAATTTGGTATTTTCTAAATCTTAGACTAACTAAAGAGACACAAAATACATACAGTCCTTGAAAACTTAAATTTAAATGGAAGATGTTTATGTTAAGGAGAGAAATATAGATTACTACTGCTGCAGTCGAGCAAAATAAAACTTCACCCTTAGTGCATGTCTGTTTCTAGAACTGGGAGAACAACACTTCCCTGCTATACAGAAAAAAAAAAAGTAGGAAATTGGATGAGAAGGAGTAGCACAAGTACCGTAATCCAAGAATTCTTGCTACAGTTTTTCCCAGTGCAAAAAACACCGAGGAGGTCACATTTATAAATCCACGCAGCTTCTTGGGTGAGATCTCTCCAGCATACTGAACATGGGTACCCAGATGTATTCCTAGAGGGAGAAAGAGGAGAGTGCTAAAAGTGTAGAAAGAAAGAGAGAGGGTCCCTTTTCACTTCCATTTCAGCTGAAGGTTGCTCTGTCCTCTCTCTTCTGAGCTGTTTCCCATACATCCTCCACAATAATAGACTGAAAATTTACCTTTTACTTTAAGCAAGATATTTAGCTAATCCAGCAGATTTCTCTCTCTACCAGACCTCTTGAAGGCAAAGGACAGCTCATCTTACCTTTTCCCAGTCTGTTCCTTGTTCCACTGGAATACTGTGCATGCCTGGGTACTCCCAGCAGGAAGATTTCTGTATCCACCCCAAAGAAGTCACACTGACAAGGAGTAGTGGGGAGTCCTACCAGCACAGATGCCCTCGAGGAAGCGCCCAACCAGGATCATCTCAAAAGACTTGGCTGTCCTGCTGAAGCCTGTGTGCAGCGTGGCTATTATTAGGATCACATCGTTGAGCAACAGACATTTCTTCCTGCAACAGCAAACAACACCTGGGTATGAGCCAGGTTTTACTTTTTCATCCTAACTGATGTCTGCCTGTTCTCCCCTGGATTTACAGACCCAGCCTATGGCCATGCTTAAATCCATTCCTTACAGGACAACCAAATCTGATTCTGAAAAGGCATGATGTCTTTGCAGAGGAGTGAAAGGGAGAAGCCACATTCCTCTTATCCATGCTAACACTGTGTGAGCAAACCACAAGGCTGAAGGAAATTCCTGCAGGATAAATACTGATAAGGAACAATCTTTTTCACTTCTTTGCTGTGGGCAAGGCTCCCATCTCAAACACTTCTTGTATCTCCAGAACAAGGCAAATCCAGCTTCACTTGGAACTTGCTTCACTGCCCACCTCAAGTGAGAGAGTTTCGGCTTTGTCCATTATGGCATCCCCAAAAAGAGGGTTCTAAATGTGGCCTGAGGGATTTCTGCTATCTTTGCTGGTACTCTGATTATTCTTACAGAGGAATGACCCTGCACAACTTTTTTAAAGCCTGTGATCAATTAAATAAATAAATTTAAAAAAGCTTTTGCCTACAGAATATCCATCTCCTTCTGCACTACTGCAGTACTGTTGGGCTTCCTATGGCATTACTGCCCAACCAAGAAATTTCAAAGATTTATTTTTTACTGAAATGTCAGCAAAGATACAGGAATTGTATGGCAGCAAAAGCTGTGACAAGGGAATCAGAAATAGTCACACATTCACGTCTCTCCCATGTACTCATGTGTACTTTTATGTGCTGAGTAAATTCTGCAACAGCAGGTGGCAGTGAGATTCTGATATCCCTTCTATTAGGTGACTGATTAATTCCTTCCCCTGCTGCAGCCCTGAGTAGAGAGCTGTTGGGAGATACACTTACTTTCCAAATTTTGCAGTCAGGTACCCACTGCACAGACACCCCATCATCCCACCCACGCAGTACAGGGACACAATGACGGACCACAGCAACGTGAGGGTCTCCTGGTGCAGCGCAGAACCGTATCGCTCCAGCCACGTTTCATTGAGAAACTTCTGAATGTACTGGGACAGAAAAAGAGATTTGCATTCCACTGAGGCACTAATCACAGTAGTTCTTCATAATGTCTACAACTTCGAAAAAATGAGGTTATTGGCATGACAGAAAGCATGGCTAAACTACATTTGTTTGCAAACTAATTCAAAAATTAATTATAATCTTTAGTGTGTTGAGTCCTTGCTCTCCTACACTAAATATAGGGGCCTTTTACTCATAGTGAAATGCAAATGTTCTTGTTGTATGTAGCAGATACAAAGAGAAAAGGGCTGAGCTGAAGGTTGAGATTCCATCAGCTAGTTTTTAATCTTTTCTCTCCATGACATAATCTTTAAGGAAGGTATCTCAATATGTTGTTTCCACACAATTCTTTGTGGAGTTGTTTTTGGAGCACATCTCCCAACAATCATAGAAAGAGCTGGTAGTAAACTGGCACAGCAACACCTAAGAGCTTTTGCAGAGCATTTTTAAAGTGCAAGGTCTAGTCCCACAAGGAACACTTAGAGATGTGATTTTATGAAGGCTTTGCTTACAGGAGAAGTATAATTGATCACAGACATTTGAAAACCAGAGAGGTGGGTTCCACCAATTCCCAGCACCACAACCATTAGCAACAGCTTCCGGTATTGGACCTGCCAAAGACAGTGAAACACATCCTAAGTTCCTGATGCCACCATGGCTTTCAGACCACATAATTTATGGGGTCTTATATCTCCACATCTCTATTATTAAGAAACCTTTAAAATGCAAATACCCATTTTTAATTTTTCAGTAATCAAACAAAATTAATGAGAAATTGTTAAAATGCAAATCTGCTCATTCCGTTATGTTCCTGTCCTGGTCATTAGGAGCCTGAAAAGATGCAGTCTCTAATTCTGTTAGTTCTGATAATCATGGGGAAAAAATCATAAAAGCCTTGTTCAGGTAGTTTGTGTTTACTTTTGTGCTAGAAAGACACTACAACATTCTTGAATCCCTTTTTTGCTTTCAACTTTGCCTCCTCAAATACACTGTTCATCACTTTCCAGAGATTAATCAAGTCTGTCCTCTTAAATTTATTTTTTTTTTTTACATTTCCCCTTTATTATCCCCATAGGAAATGCCATTTTTAGAGTCCCTACCCGACTGACTTGTTTGTGAAATGCTGTGTTTCTGTGGCATACACTGAATTTTAGAGCACCCCTCACAGGCACATACGTTTTCGGGTATTTAGTCAGGTCACACTTAAAACAGACAAATATCTTCAAATATCCTTGAGAGTGCAGGGCTGTAGAGTGGAGTGGAAGGTTTTTTCTCTGTTTTGTTTTTTTCATTGTTACTATTTTCTTTATCTGCCTCATAATGCCCATTCTTTCCTGATTTCCCAAGTCCTCTTTTAAGCGTCTCACTCTTTTGTAGTTCTAATCTATTTTCTGGAGATGCCAGAACTCATATTGCTGAACTGGTGTTGTCCCAAGCACATGTTCTGTTGCTCATTTTTATTGCAAGGACTGCTTGATTCCCTTTGCTGTAATCTTTAAGACCATGCTGCTGTCAATGACTAGGGCTAGAACACAAGAAGTTGGATACTCACCAGGTCTGAAAGGAAACCAGACATTTCCCCTTGAAACCCTGCCCTCTCTGAGAGCTCCTGTCAACTCTGTCAGATGAGAGAGATGGTTTCCTCACTGAGACTATAAGAGTTTGGGATCACAGCACAGAAGTTAAATTCTAACTACATGGCTTTTAGCAAACTATGTCCTCCTCTGACACTGGCCAGGGCCTCTTCTTGCTGGTTTAATTATTCTAAGACCCAGATACGACAAGCTGATTACAACACTGGTAAATGTTTATCCTTGAATTGGGAGTGCTCCCCTTTACTCACACTGCTAAAACACCTGCATGTTCCTGTTGTGTGAGGAATCAGACAGTGCTACCATCTTCCCTTCAGGGCAGCAGAGTCCCTCTCCACTTCTCTGACAAGCATCTTAGGCATCCTCCTCTCCACTCTACCACAGAGATAATGCCCTTAGAATTGTAGCTGAGCTGTAATGCCTCTTCTTGCCTTCTATAAGATTTTCAATTGCTTGAAGTGATTAGAACAATTTCCCAGTTGCAGGAAATGAAATATTGGAATATTGGTATATTGGTCCTTGCTAACACCCAGAGGGTCACTCTTTCCAGAACCACTCAGAAGCCTCACTCTTGCCTCTCTGTAACAGTGGAATTGACCCACTGGGGGCCAGAGTGGGATCCCATATCTCAGTTTCCACACTTCTTCATGCTGTACTGCCCCTTCAAGTCTGTTTTTATTTTTTCTTTTCCATCCCAAAGGGGTTCTGCCAGAGTCAGAGCAAACCCCTTTTCAGGCACCTCAGAGAGGGACTGTGGGCAGGGGAGATGATGAGTTTTGATGAACTAGAGGGAGAAGGAGGATTTTTTCTTTGAGCTGAGGAGGGGAAGCTTGTCTACTAGAAGGAAGGAAGGACACACATGGCAGTTCTGGGTCTTTCTGGAGAGGTTTTTAAACACTGTGGCCAGATTTTAACATCTGGCTGATCAAACAGTCCCTGCAGAGCCCTGTTCCTCTTCCTCCTGTTGTCTGTGTCTCTCCTAGAGTACTCATACTGCTCTCTCATTTTCATCTGGCCTCACACTTTCGTTCAGTGCTGTACTATGCAAAAAGAAAGCCTTAGATGCTTAGTATAGTTCTTTTATTTTCCTAAAAAATAAATAGGACAGTACAAATCTTTTCACCTAGGATTTGAACACTACAAGAAATGTATTCCAGACCCAGTCTGGAGCTCACTCAATACCCTTGGCTTGGAGGGAATTTTGTCTTCAAAGATGCCCTGTGTAGCACTTGTGTGATCCTGGATCCTACATGGCAGATTCACAAATACTTCTTTAACCTTTATTCCCAATCCATGCTAGTTTATGGCAGTGCTAATGATTTACCACACTTCCCTCTTGTGGACAGTATTTACTAGTAGGAGAGAACAAGTAAGGGATGATGGACAAGATCACCCTGTAGAAAAACATGTAGAAGGAAATGAGTTTTTAATGTCTCATAAGACAGTAAAAACTCCTTCACTGGGAACCAGTAAGGTTTAGAAAGTCCAGACCAAATAAAGACTTCTAAAATAATCAAGGTCTTACCTGATTCTTTTTAAAATACTTTAAATGTTTCTTCTCTTTTTTTTTTCCCCAGCATTTTTGACCAGAAGAGGGAATGTGTGTTGGTTCTTAATGTGGTACTGTGCAATCCATAACCTCAAGCCTTGAAACTATACACTTTATCTAGCATTTTTGGTACTATGATGATTGTCATAGGAAGGATGGTTGTACTGGGGAAGTCCCCTGCTCCTGGTATTAGCTTTTGGCACTGCTACAAATACTGCTAGAGGATGGTGTGAAGATAAAATAGCAGGAGCCTTAGGGCTGTGAAAGAAAAGGGCTGTGAAAGAAACTGCTGGTCAGTATTCAAGTCCTTTTGCAAATTTTGTTGTGTGGCACCTGCATCAGTCAGTAGTGAAGATCTCATTTCCAGAAAAGACAGACACAGTGTTCCTTGACCCAATAACACAGTCCCAAAAGATGGGCTCTCCTCTGCCCCTGACTATTTAATGAAAACCAAATCCAGGCATGATCAGTAGGGTGTGTTTTCCTAGACAGTGCTTTTTATTTCTTTATCAGTAAACTGCAAAGCATGAAGAAGACCAGAAATGTGTCATGTCGTATAGCAATGACTACAAAAAGTGAAGCCTTTTTTACCATGTTTTATAATGAAAATGTGGAGTATTCAGACACCTGGAGAGAGAAGCAAACGTTCAGACATACAGATTGGGGTCTCCAGGAGAGGCACCACTCTCTTTTGTCTCACTGGTACCAGTTACTCTCAGGAGTCAATGCCATTGAAATCCAGTGTTCTCCAGGCTGAAGACACACTGCACAAGCAAGGAGAACCTGCCCACCGTGGCTTTGCCCACTCATGATTCCCTGCAGCTCTGCTTTCTTTGCTCATGCTTTCTTTCAGTGCTCACATATCCCTGGGGATTTTTTTCCAATAGAAGAGGCAGAAACACTGCATATTGATTCTGTCTACTGATAGGCAAGGTGCTCTTCTTCCACTGTATTAAAGAGCTAAACACTTCCTTTCCTCTGGACTGAAGCTTCTTGTCTGGGAAAGCTCATCAGCACTGACTTGTTAACAGCAGATAATTTCAACACCAAAGCTCTGTCTTCTTTTGCTCTCACCTTTGCAAACCTGCTGTATCTCTGGACCTTCCAGACTCATGTTCTCCAACTGTGGAGTCCTGGTTTTGCCAAGAAAAATAGCAGATCCTATGTTTTCAGTTTACCAACTGCTAACTTGGAGGGACTGACAAAATTTCTTTATATATTGTGTTCAATTTTTTTTCTGCAGAGGAATTAATTCAGCTCATGTTTCAGGAGTTGGAGAGAACGACCAAGTTCATCCTGCACCCTGCACTGCAGGTGATTATTTTTAAAATACACACTTGTGCTCTTTGTGGAGCAACAGATTCTCTATTGCTTAATGAGGCTTCTGGGCACTACAGTAATAAAGGAGCAAAATATGAAGGGGAGGGTTTGTTGTTAAAGTCTAGTGACAGTCATCACCGAGCAGTTACTCTGCTGTAGGACTGTCTGTCTCTTCTTTCCACGGTAGTTCAGGCGGTTGAACTCCTCCAGGATCTGCAGCATGGTCTTTCCTTTGGGTTCTGGCATCACCAGGAAGACAAAGACAGCCACAGTCAGACAGTATGCCAGGAAAATGAGGAAAGAGAAATTACCAAGGCCTTCCTACAGGAAAAGAAAGAGACAAAATACGTTCATAAGAATTTATCTGTATTTCTCTCTCTTATGATATAGAGTTTTTGGTTTTGTATTTACTATAGAACTTGGTCAGGGACAAAAACACCCTACTTTGCTTACCACAATGAAAGGGAAGACAAGTCCAAGGATGAAGAGTTGGATCCAGCTTACAAGACCATTAAAAACAACAGCAGCTGCTCTGTATGACTGAATAAAAATTTCTGTGATCAAGGAGCATAACACACCACCTGAAAAAAATATTGAAGAAAAGAAGGAAACTTAGAAATTTTGCAAGATGCTTCTGTACCTCACACTTCATATTGTTGCATAGGTTTATGGCTTTAAATGACCTGGAAGTGTTTGAGGTGCTGCCTGGCTCTTGAGGAGGAAGGATGTAGGAATGCAATAGGAAATTAAGTTTTACCTCCTACTGCAGTATGGAGGGAAACATCTGTACCTGCACTGAATCAGGAGTAGGGATGGGGTTCATGCTAACTGTGGAGCAGCTATGCCTGGCACCTCTCCTAAAGGCTGCAGTGAGGAAGGAATGAGTATCTGAAACCGTTCCAGTAGAAAATACCAACCTGGCCCAACGCCAAAGCTCAGGATGTAAATAAAGACGAGTGCAACAGAGCAGTATGGTACCCAGAAAAAGGAATCCTGTGGTAGGAAATGAAAAGCAAATAAAATCAGAAATTAAGATTTTGTTTATCTAGCTCCATTAGAAACATTCACGACTGCTAAGTATAGCAGTGTTAAATATAAATCTAATTATTTTACTTCCAGAAATTTCATGAGGAGATAGTCTTGGCAGAGTTCTTGGTTGCATAAGTCTATTGTCTTTAATCTGTATGTACATGGCTGGGAACAGACCTCTGTTAATATGATGGTTAGCCCCAAAAACACTTCTACTTGGGCTAAAAAATTATTTGGAGGAAGGGAAATAGTATGATATCTGCTGCACAATAATGCAAGAAGACACGACAGAGTTTTAATGCATCAGTGAGGCCTTACCTGTAGGAAGAGCGTGACTGTGAGGAGCCCTAAAGCGAGGGTCATCACTGTGTAGTTTTTCCACAGCAGTGTCTTCCTCCCTGCACGCTCAATGAGGACACCCTGCAACCAGAAGGACACGCTGCCAGCTCCAAAGGACAGACTAAGGCAGGCACTGCTGAGCTGCTCCAGTAGCTGCCATCCCTGGGTCATGATTTTGAGAGAAAGACTCTCCTCTCTTCCCAGAAATTGAATATAAATGCCCATATTTTCAGGGTGTGTGGAGATGATTTTGTATGATTGGTTCTGTGGTTGATTTGTTGCAAAAAATTTTATTCCCGAAGCTCCGCTTACAGCATTTCTAAAGATTAAAATGAACCATGCATTACAGCAGAACAAAATTCAGCTGAAAAACCACTTACACACACAGCTGTGGAGAGGATCTCAGTGGTCCCAAGCCCCAGCGAGACATAGTGGATTTGATCAGGGGGGATTCCAGCTTTTATGAAGATATTGTATGCATAAAAGTAAACCTGGAAAGAACAGAAATTTTTGCTCATGTTTACACTAATGTCTGAGGGTTTTTTGACAAGAAATGTTTTGATCCCCTTGAATTCTCTTATCATAACAGGGTAATCCATAGGATACCTTCAGATGACACTTGCAGTTATCAACTTATCTCAAGTACCAAACTTCCATGGGAAAGGATTGTAATGAACAGGAACAACAGATCCCTCCTCACAGCCACTGTTTCAGTCAGCATTTCACAACTCGTTGCAGAGCTCACTTTTGCAAGAGCCTGTGAGCAGTGCAGAGAGCAGAGCAGAGCAGAGCACATACCACAATGCCCCCATTGAAATGTGAGCACGAGGCCACGAG